TATAGCTGCCCATCTTCTAATCAACTCTGTGAGATTGGCAATCAAACAGCATATGTTTTATGTCCTTTATTTATATCCAAAGCCGCTGACAATCTGAATGTGGGCAGCAGAGGGTGGATGTTATGTCACATTGTTCTACAGTATGTTTTCAGCCATTCAATAATCAAATGCTAGTTGATTATTGATGAGTTGATGAGCAAACAATAACCAATAATAAATATAATCTGGTTATGGTATCAGTTTAAAATGATATGAGGGCTATATTACATAGCCAATAAAACATCGCATAGCTAAACTGGCAAATTCACCATAAAATAAGATAAGAATAAAATCAATAGATGTACCGGTACATTATTTAAAAAAGCAAACACAGAAGTCATCAAGGAAAATCAAAATCTGTGCTGGAGAATAGAAGTTGACTGTAATATTATACTGTAGTGCTATAAATCAGCTGTCAGGACTGAAATGTTTGCAGTGGACTTTGAAACCAGGCTAAGAATTGCTTGTAGATTCTGGTTGTTCACTCCTGTCCTCTGCTTACTGGAAATGGTGGTACAGAAGTTCCCAGGTCCATCTGGAATAACTGGGAATTAAGTTAAAGAACATCAGGAAAGCAAATGAGCTACGGTCCTTTCCCAGAATCAGACAATTCCCTGAGCTTAATCCTATTTTACGCATTCAAAGAATCCAAAAACATTCTCTGTGACCATCCAGGAACTTGCTGTGGATTTTCAGCAATCATGCACTGAAAATGAGATTTTTAAAAAAATAAAATCTGAAAAATTTCCTGTTCTGGGGAGAAAAAGGCTGGGGAATGTCTCTGCAGAGAATATTAGTACATTTATACAGAGTGTATAAAGGTACTAATAATACCACTAATATTCCCAACCAGCATTCATATGCATTTGGTTTTGCTTGATTACAGAAACTCAGGCATTAGCAGATACTGCAAGAAAGGTTGATCATTAGTCTGGACAAACATGTTACCTCCTGACCAGATTTTTTTGTAAATCTCCAAGATTGACTGGAGGTCTCCCCTAGTGTTTGTGCAAATGCGTCACGCCAAATCATACATCTGAAATCTGCAAGTTGAAGAAAGGTGATTGAAAGGAAACAAATCCCTTCAGTTCATTACCTATGCTACTTAATAAATAATAAATTAAAAAAATAATCCTGGCAATTTCTGGCAATCTAGAGGGAATACTTTCCTTTGGCCTAGAAAGCTCTGTGCCAGCTCCCTTTACCCTGTTTCCATCAGTCCCAATCTTGATCAATCTAATCTAATAAAATTACTTCCAAGTATTTGAATACCTTCAGATTCATAGAATTATATGTCCAAAGAAAAAATACCCATGTACTTCCCTGTGGCATATTTCAAAGCTGAACAGTAACCTTGTTATGGATTCCTTTGTCTGGCAAGGGTTATTCTTATCTGACGTCTTTTAAAGTTATCTTACCTACCTTAAGTGCAGCTCTTGCAAAGTTTATCTTGTTTACATGTTACAGCCAGTAACATCATTTAGAAAGTTGCATTGTAAAAGGAAAATGGTATGACACTGACTGCAACAAATGCAAAAAGAATGGATAAGTAAAGTTCAGCCAATAGTTAGCAGAACCCCATCATAACCTTAGAAATGAGCAATATACATAATTTGTCATAATGGGTAGGGTAGAGCTTACATTATCCCCTGCACTTCATTTTCTTCCAGTGTTTACCTGACATTTTGAACAGTAACCCAGCTGATTACTAATATATTGTGCAAAGCAGTCCTGGATTTGATTCATGATTATGTGAAACCAGATAATTGGGTTAATTGACTAACTTATAATTAAGTTAATTAAAGGTGTTTCTATCATGCAGATGATATAAATTAAACTCAAAGTGGGAAAGATAGTGAAAAATCTCATTTCTGGTCTCAAGGAGATTTAGAGGGTCAAAATATGAAATGTTAGAGAAACGTGGTGTTCTTGTATATGGAATCAAAGCAAGCAACTATTATTCTGGCGAAAGAGTGGCATTGCAAAGACTAATTTAAAGCAGCTTGATTTTTGAAATTTGCCTGCCTGTGCTATGGTTTTCTTTCCTTTACACCATTTAATTTGATTTCACTCTTAAGAAAATATTTGCCATAACTGGGGCAAAATGTATTATACGGCTGGACCCTAAGATTAATTGGCCTGCTTTTCCTTCATACTGGATACCACCTTGTGTCCTCCAAAAGCTGCACGGAAAAAACTTGAGGATAAGGAATCAGAAACATCATTAAGATGCAAAGCCAGACAAAAAGGATATTTATGTTGCCAAAGTACACCATCCAAACTAAATGAGAAAGAAGTCACTCAAGAAGGATTGGGTGGGTGCATATCAATACCCATCAGGGCAACAAGAGACAAAGTAACTGAGGGGTGCACAATACTAATCCAGCTGGCTATCTACTTCATCTCATGAGTCGCTTATTTGAATTTCTGAGTAAACTTAAATGGTTGGCTGCTATTGAACCATGGACAAAAAGACAAGCAACATATAATATCTATGCTCTGAAATGGATCCTGATTTAGCAGAAGAGAACGTAGTGAATAACCATGTCTCCCCTTCCTCAAACATTACTGTACAGTATTTTATGCATTCCAGGCAGAGGCAATATAAAATGATGCAATTTTCATCCTTGAATGTTGGGATCAGCTAGATACAGCCATGAAAGATGATTTCATTCCCTACAAAGACAGGATTGTGGCGGGATTATTTTGTTACTGCCTTCACAATATGATAGAAAGCTAAGCAAAATATTCTGCTCTGGCCCCAGAGAGTCTGTGTGTGCATGTGTGTGTGCTCGAGGGTTGGTCTTCTTGGTACTTGACACCTGTCGTAGAGAGGTCATTCTCTACATTCTCTAGAGAGGACAGTGATGGTTAACCTTTACTTCCTTGGGTGCCGAAGGCACGCATGCGCTATTGCGCCCGTGCCCACACCATAATGTGATGCCACCCCACTTGCCCTGGCCCCCTGCACAAATGCGCGTGACCCCCCTGGGCCCCGTTTTGGGCCTAGCAGGCCTCCCTGAAGCCTCCAGAGGCCAGAAACGACTTGTTTCTGGACTTCTGGTAGGCCTGTTTTTCGCCCTCCCCAGGTTCCGGAGGCTTTTCTGGAGCCTCCGGGAGGGTGAAAATGGCCTCCCCTGGACCTCTGGAGGCCCTTCGTAGGCTGGAAACAACCTGTTTCCAGATTTCCGGGAGGCCTCAGCTGGCCGGTGCGCGCAGATGCACGGTGGAGCTGACCTAGGGCAACAGTTTGCATGCCTGCAGAGATGGCTCCGTGTGCCACCCGTGGCACGCATGCCATAGGTTTGCCATCACGAGTCTAGGAGAAACTTCCCTTGAAGGAACAAAATACTATGATTTTGATACATTCACACAACCCACATTGTACCACACTGCAAAGAGCAAAGGCCTGATTATAGAGCCCATTCTCCATCATTGCTCTCACCCATGCCAGCAACCAGGTGAACTCGATGCTTTGTTATGCCTACAATCTGTGAATGCCTAAAGAATAGAGAATTTTCCATGCCTTGATTCCATCCCCACTCCACTAGACTTCCCTAATGTCTTGTTAGCACGCAAGAGTTGTGTGCTATTCCAGCTAAGCATGCAAACTACAGTAAGGTCAGTGGAATGTATTTCATGTGAATGCTTCTGTGACCATTGGGAATGGCTCAGTGGGACAGCCTTGTACCTAAAAGTCCAGTTGGCAGAAAGCATTTGAGGAATAGCTAATAACTGAGCATCACTTGCTCTACAAATCTTTTCCTTCCTTCCTTCCCTTCCTTCCTCTCCTTCCTTCCTTCCTCCCTGCCTTTTTTCTTTATTTTTCTTTCTTTTCCTTCCTTCTCTTTCTTTTCTCCCTCCCTCCCTCCCTTTCTTTACTTTCTTTTTTCTCTTGTGGGTGTGGTTTTCCAGTTTGCAAGGACTGTCTGTAACTCCCCTGGCCAGAGCAGCCAGTTTTTATCTGTCTTTTGATCTTGGAAGCAGTTAAGAGTGGTTAAAAAGTTAGAAACTTCCCCCTGCAGTTATAATAAAGAACCTTTGCTTCCTCTTAGAATCTTTGGCCTCCAAAACTAATGTGGTACGGTGATTAAACTCTTGGACTGGGATTGGGGAGACAGATGTTCAAAAACTTTCTAAGCTGTGAAAACTCACAGAATTGGACCAATTACTTTCTCAGTCTAAACTTTCCCTGCTTACTACATCCTTGGAGTGCTGGTCAGCACCCCGGTGCAGTGTGACTTGAACTCTCTTGGGTAAAAAAAGGCAAGGGATCATTTGCAAGGACTGTTCTTGACACCTGATGAATAAAATTGTTCAGATTCACACAGATTTGGACTCATTGTGAAGGTCGTATGGAATTGAGATACAACCTTACACAGTTATCTCGGAGGAGTTCAATCTTAATATCATGAGGAAGTGGACAGGATCCCAGGAATTGTTAATGTGTCCACCTGAGTTCTAGATCCATGAGAGAAAGCTAATCCTACTAGCTCTGAAAGAGGCAACAGTTTGCCCCCCTTCTCAAAAAGTCACTGCTTGATCCAAAAGACCTGGACAAATTTTTAGGGAAGATTGACAAGAAGGTAAGCTTGCAGTTCTAAAGTAGTCTGAGAAAGCAGCAACATCGCTGGTGGTGAGATTTTTTTTTTTACCAAGTTTCTCTTTTCTTTTTTTGAGTTGTATGGGAGCTTTCAAAAAAATGCAAAAGAGGTGTGCCATTTCTTCTGACCCCCTGAAGTCCTGCCCTGTTGCCTCATCATGGTGATGATGGGTGTTCTTGGAAGGGATGAAGGAACATCAGACATGTATGCCAAGAGTATGTACTCCCAGCAAGTTAACCTAGCATGAAGGTCATCCCTGGGGCCCAGCCAAAGCAAACAGGTACTTGCACTGGACAGCAGGTAGATAGGAAGATGCTGGAGGCAAATTTAATGAAAACAACAAAGGCACCATCCATATGGCATGAGAGAAAGCAGAGGCAACCATTCCTGTATTTTATTAAGAGAACCACGTGGACAGACAATACAAAGAAATATAAATATAAAGCAGTGCTGGATATTTTTTAAAAAATTCATTTATATTTTGCCTTTATTATTTTTTACAAATAACTCAAATTGACTAACATAGGGGACCCCAACCCCCAGACCATGCCCCACTACCAGGCCTTGAGCCTTTTGGAACTGGGCTGCAGAAGTGGGTGAGCATGTGCACGCATCTCCATTCGCATGAACAGTGGGCAAACATTTGCTTGCGCTGAACCATCCCTTCTCCTTCTCCCGCTGGTTCACAAAGCTAAAAAGGTTGAGGAATTTTGGACTGACCTATCCAAAACATTTTCCTCTTCCTCCACAACAACAACAACAACAATCCTACGAGGTGGGTTGGGCTGAGAGAGAGACACAGGCCCAAAGTCACCCAGCTGGCTTCCATAGCTAAGATGGCACTTGAACCCATTTCCTGCTTTCTAGCCTGGTCCTCTTACCAATAGACCAAACTAGCCTCTCAGGTTAGATAACATTCAACATGCTATTGAGGAAGACCTGAAGAGCATTCAGACTATTAATAGTAGGAAACAATATCTTGACCACTGTTCTCTAGATTTTCTGGCATAATTTGATTAGAACCTTTTATGAGTCTTGTTCTTGTTGCTTGCTATATTTTAGTAGATGTCCCATCAATTCCCATAGTAAGTTTGCATTACAGTGGGTTATGGTAGATTTTTCTTAGGCATGAAATTTTGCATTATTTTAAGACAGAGCGCATACATATGCATTCAAGGACAAGATATAGATGTAAAATGCAACAGTTAAATCAATACAAAACTATTTACAATTAAAATCAATTAGCAACTCCAAACTTGGTGAAAGAGGTATCTTTTGCCATGTCCTAAATACTGAGAGAATGGGAGGTCATGACCATCACCTTGAGATAATTATCCAAAGCCTTGAAGCATCAGGGAAGAAGTGAATTCTGCATAGCAAGATAGCTAAGTTCTAGAAGGGGAGGGGGGGAAGCATCTTCAAATCCACCCCCTACTTTTTTCAGTAATCTAACGGGTTCATAGGGGAAGAGGCAGTCACAGAAATAGCCATTTAAAGATCAACTCCCATATTTAAATTGTATTCAGTAGGGGATTGGCAAACAGACCAGGAATCATAATTTCTGAACCTTATGCCAGTCAGCAGCCTGGCTGTCATATACTCTGTAATTTTCTGAGCACCAATTAAAATAAAGAAATTGACACATTTTTCACCAATTGCAATTTTACAGGCACCTTTTAAGGATAGCCTGTGTATTACAGAGTGCATATATGGAAATCACTGCCAAGCACTTTATTCACATTTTAATAAAGCAAAATAGAGGGTGCAGTTCTGATTCTTTCCTTCTACCTAATAATCCATTGTTTCTAAACTGGGGCAGCAGGAAAGAATAAGCAGGGGTTTAAAACAATGCTCTGGTGCAGAGGGAGATGTTCCCAACCATCATGTGTAACATGGCAAAAGGAATAGAGGGATACAATTGTGAGCTTCAATATGAAGTCCAGGTTTTTTTTTCCCTAGATGTTCCAGGAAGACAAAGGGAAGTTCAAAACTGCATCAGCACCCCTGTCTTTGTAAAGTGATGGGTTGTATCAGCCAAAGAGTCCTTTTGCCTTCTTCCTTTTAGTCTTGACAACAGGCATTTGTGCTTTCTGGGCTTGGGAAGATGGGACCTGGGAAGAAGAGGCACTGATCAGAATTAGTAAGTCAACCAGCCAATCCAAATAAACAGGAGTAAAACCAACCAAATGTAGCCAAATAAGATTTCATCATTTGACTCTTGACTTCCACAGCTGAGACGTAGAGAATGTGTCACATTCTCTGGAATGTGAATAGCAATCAAACACCAAGCAATGGTGGCAGGTAAGACTAGTTAGAAAATAAAAATGGCACCCACACATATCAGACACAAAGATGCCTCCATAGGGTTAGAGAACCTAGAGGTTGTTGCTGACCATCACTGAACTTCACAAACATAAGCAATAGAAGAGTTTACTACTAATTCTTTCAAGAGAGCTCTTCAAGAGGATTAAGGAGCAGAGTTGACCTCATCAGGGAAAGAGGAACTATGGTTCTCCAAGTTACAACTAACCCTTTGAGGACCCCTTCCCATATGTATCTAGTGGTCATGGACCCACCACTGCTTCTTCCACATGCTGTGCAGATGACAACTGGGTCTCTGTCTGTTCTTCTGCCGCTGGCAAATCTACCGGCTCTTCTGTAGGGTCCTGAGAAGCAGCATGGTTAAGGGATCCAGAGTCTTCTGATTCTGTCAAAGGAAGAAGATAACAAACGGTGGTGCCATATAGACTAGTGCATTGGTTAAAGTATCAAGACTATAAGAATTATAACCAGGTAAGTTATCAAGAATGTATAAAGGTACTTCAAATGAATGTTGGAAATGCAAATGTAAAGAAGGGACTTTCTATCATTTATGGTGGATAAAGCAAAGAAATATTGAAGCAGGATTTATATTCTAATACAGAAGATTCTTAAAGTGAATATAAAAATGAAACCAGAAACTTTTCTTTTGGATTTAATGGAAAAAGATTTGGAAAAAAATTGGAACTTTGATGTTATATAAGTTGACAGCAGCAAAATTACTTTACGCACACAAATGGAAGGACGCTTCAATCCCTACAATGGATGAAAGGTTGCAAAAGCTGATGGAGTTAGCAGAGATGGCTAAATTGACTGCTTTGATAAAAGAAAAAAAACACAACTACTTTTGATGGCTTCATATACAGTAGCTGTTAAATAACATTGGAGACAAACATAGTGCATTGTGGCAACACACAATGGCCAAAATGCAGAGGGAGATTCGTTTATTGTACTTCTGAGATCATCTCCACAAGTATGAAATGCAGGGTCCTCAATGCAGGCACTATCAGTGGTCAAGAGATCAATGCTCCCTGTCTCTTTTGCACTAGTTCAATTGCAAAATGATAACTATGGTAGATTCTGTCCCAGAATTACCAGAACCAAGACTGAAGGGTTAAGATAATCAGTGTCTTGCAGAGACATCACCCTCTCAACAAGCATGAAAACAGAGGTATCTTAGACTTGGATTGCAGAGAGGGTTCAGGCAGGGTTATCCATAACCTTTTAATTTTCAGGCCACTCCCTCATGATAGAATGGGTCAACTTGTCATGGCCAAATCGCCACAGCCAACTTGCCACAGGACATCTCACTGCAAGACAATTCAACAATTCAGTGTAATTATTTAAAATAATTTAAAAAATATTTTAATTTTTGTTGTTCACATATCATTTTGTCCCTCTTTTTGCACCCTTTCTTTAATGACTCTATTCCACCATTTCTTTTTTTTTTTTTATTTGATTTATTTTTCTTTGATACGAGTGTAACTCTTGTCCCACGTCCCAAGTTGTTCCATGGTGAGTTGACTGCGGCCAGTTGGCCATCACGAGTTGGTGGTAGCGAGTTGTCCTAGACCAGGGATCTGCAACCTTAAACACTCAAAGAGCCATTTGGACCCGTTTCCCACAGAAAAGAAATCACCAGGAGCCACAAAACCTGGGTGGGCGTGGCCAACTTGATGTCACTCACTCCCACCCAGTCACATGATCTCCCATGAGTTGCTGGCTGAGGAATTCTGGGAGTTGAAGTCCACAAGTCTTAAAGTTGCCAAGGTTGGAGACCCCTGTTTTAAAGGGATGATGGCAGAGCAGACACACCCTTCCTACACTTGATCCACTTACCTGCCCGGTGCCGTTTGCAAGCAGCTCTGGCTTGTTGCTGGGTCACTGCCACATAGAGAGATTTTAGGTTAGAAGTGAACAAGCGTCCATCTCCCAGGCAGCAGGCTTGGGGCAAAGTCTGAAAAACAAAAGAGGAGATAGCGTACAGGGTGGAGACTACACACGGGATTATAGAACATAGGAAATAAACGCACTACGTTTCACCTAAACAAATGTGCTTGCTGAAACGTTGCTGGCATTGCTATAGTATCAGTGTCTATAATAAGGGCAATTCAGGAGTGACTTCGCAATACGTATGCGTCAAGTTCAGGTACAGGCCCTAATTCCATGGAACATCTGTACTCCGCACACAATGGGTGCCCTGTTATTTTTCACTTACAAGGAACTTTGGTACCCAGAGAAGGGAATTAGCATTTGGGGCGGGCAATCTTTGAAGAGGAGGCTGCCAGTCAAAGTAGAAAAAAGTGGACCAGAGAATAAACATAGAGCACTACAGTATAAAATAGCTTCTTTTGTTCACAGGTAGTCCTTGATTTACGACCGCGATTGAGCCCAATATTTCTGTTGCTAAGTGAGACAGTTAAAGTGAGTTTTTCCCAGTTTTACGTCTTTTCTTGCCACAGTTGTTAAGTTAGTAACATGGTTGTTAATCTGGCTTCCCCATTAACTTTGCTTGTCAGAAGGTTGCAAAAGGGGATCACATGACCCCAGGATGCCCTGCAACCGTCATAAATACGAGTCAGTTGCTAAGCATCTGAATTTTCCACTTCTAATATAGAAATGGTACTAAAGCTTAGCTTGAAATGTGCCTAGCTCCTCCATTTTCAGAAAGAGGACTGTTGTGTTGGAAGCAGCAACTTTATAATGCCTTGGTAAGGCCACACTTGGAATACTGCATCCGGTTTTGGTCGCCACGATGTAAAAAAGATGTGGAGACTCTAGAAAGAGTGCAGAGAAGAGCAACAAAGATGATTAGGGGTCTGCAGGCTAAAACATATGAAGAACGGTTGCAGGAACTGGGTATGTCTAGTTTAATGAAAAGAAGGACTAGGGGAGAAATGATAGCAGTGTTCCAATATCTGAGGGGCTGCCACAAAGAAGAGGGAGTCAAGCTATTCTCCAAAGCACCTGAGGGCAGAACAAGAAGCAATGGGTGGAAACTAATCAAAGAGAGGCAACCTAGAACTAAGGAGAAATTTCCTGACAGTTAGAACAATTAATCAGTGGAACAACTTGCCTCCAGAAGTTGTGAATGCTCCAACACTAGAAGTTTTTAAGATGATGTTGGATAACCATTTGTCTAAAGTGGTGTAGGGTTTCCTGCCTGAGCAGGGGGCTGGACTAGAAGACCTCCAAGGTCCCTTCCAACTCCGTTATTCTATTCTATGTGTTACACACAAGAATCTGTTTTTCCCCAGCAGGACAGAAGTGTGAGAACAGGTACTCTGTTGCATCCAGGCACAGGGACCAAGGCCCAAGGTTCACTCTACCCCCACCATCCTGGATAGAGGGAACCCAGAATCCTGCTGGCTGTCCATGTTTCAAAGGTTTGCAGAGATAATGCCTCCATGTGCTGCAGCTGCTCCACACCCAAACAGGCAGGAGAACAAAGTGTAACAGATAACAGGCCAGTTCCTCTGCAAGCACTGAGGCACTCAAGGCCAGAGTCCAAAGCTTTGCCGGTCACCCACTCCTCCCACCGCAGCCTGCAGCAGTGGCACAAGGCTCCTGGCCAATACTATAGGGGACAGCTTAGCAGGATGGAGTGGGAAGTGAGAGTCAATCATATACTGGCATTAGATGACTCCCACCTTCTTTCCAGAGCCTTAAGAGGGACCAACTGGACTGAATATCTGAAAGTACTTTTAGCATTCCTGCTCTCCTGCTCTGGTCCCTTTTAGGATCTTTTAAACTAGAAGTGTCCAGAATTTGAACCTAGGACTTTCTGCAATGCCAAGCAGGAGCTCTGATTTTCAGCTACAAGGCCAATCCCCTTCTTGGATAAAAGAAGCGTTTCCTTTAAGTAGAATTCCCCCCCACATCTCCCCTTGCAGAGATAATTCTAAAAAAGATGCTCTGGGTATTCCAGGAAGGAAGGAAATGAAGTGAAGAGTATTTATACACATACCACCATGCCTATATATCAGGGGTGAAATCCAGCAGGTTCTGACAGGTTCTGGAGAACCGGTAGCAGAAATTTTGAGTAGTTTGGAGAACCGGCAAATACCACCTCTGGCTGGCCCCAAAGTGGGGTGGAAATGGAGATTTTGCAGTATCCTTACCCCAGGAATGGGGAGGGAAATGGAGATTTTGCAGTATCCTTTCCCTGCCACACCCACCAAGCCACACCACACCCACCAAGCCACGCCCACAGAATCGGTAGTAAAAAAAATTGGATTTCACCACTGTTATATACACATGTTTGGACACCATATTCCTTTGGTGTCTGTCCATCACTCACAAAGTTACAAAAATAAAAAGGAATAGAGAAAAGGTGGTCTAGGCATGCTTCCTTGAATTCCTAAACAAAAATACATAGTACAGATAGTCCTCAACTTAGGACCACGATTGAGCCCAAAATTTCTGTTGTTAGGTGAGACATTTGTTAAGTGAACTTTGCCTCATTTTATGACCTTTCTTGCCACAGTTGTTAAGTGAATCACTGCAGTTGTTAAATTAGTGACATGGTTGTTAAGGGAATCTGGCTTCCCCCATTGATTTTGCTCGTCAGAAGGTTGCAAAAGGTTGATCACGTGATCCTGGGGCATTGCAACTGTCATAAATATGAGTCAGTTGCCAAGCATTTGAATTCTGATCACGTGACCCTGGGAATGCTGCAATCATCATAGGTCACTTTTTGCAGAGCCGCTGTAACTTTGAATGGTCATTAAATTAACTGCTTTAAGGCGAGGACTACCTGTAAAATAAAAAGGGGGAAATTCACCAGCTAAAATAGGCATCAGTTAAAATTTGCACATTCAAATAATAAAAACAAACCCCAAAAGTTATTTATTACATTGTGAAAGACTACCCAGGAGTACACTAACTAACTTTCCTAAGGCAAAGAGTATCACAGACCATTGGAAAAGCTTTCTGGTCCCCTCCCAGTCCTTGTTTCCATCAATTTGTGCTCTGTCATGGTTAGAACCAAGGAACAGATGAAAGAGACTATTTTTGATGAAGGCAAGTTTGAGAACAGGTTCTCAAGCCTGAGCAGGCTTGTAAAGGGGAGCAGGGTTTATGGAATGGTGTGATTACAAGCCACCTCCAGCTTAATAGGTTGTCATCAAGAGTGTGAATTATGCCTAGAAACATACTTGATAGCTGGCGGAATTGCTTTAACAAGGAAGTAATTCCCTCTAAGTAGAGGGGCCTATCAGTAAAGGGGCTGCAGCGGTCTGAACTACTAGGATGTTCTGAGCAGTTATTCTATTTATTAAATTTATATGATCTCCATCTAAATATCCAGAGCAATTTTTGCAATGCAGCTCCATGCAGAGTGTCTTATAGTAGTCCGATGAAGAAGTAACTGTTATATGTTAGCATATTCTGATCCAATGGCTCCAGGAATGGGCAGCATTCACAACGTAAGATTTGCTAGGTTGAAAATACAGTATTATGTCATGGAAAAAAAAATACAGTGCATCCTGAGTCTTTAACATGTACAGTAATATTGACCATGCGGACAGATAATCTTTATCTTCTTTATCTTTTATTAGATTTGTATACCGCCCTTCTCCTTTCGGACTCAGGGCGGTGAACAACCAAAATAAAAACATTTGTACACAAAAGTTAAAATAATTTAAAAAAATAATTAAATGAAATTTGGCCCATAATTTAAAACATAATGTGTTTGTATTGCTTATTGTCCATTTATATGTGGTGATCTTGCCATTTGCATAGGATTTAATTCTTTTTTTAAAAAAATAATTTTGATGGAAGTTTTAACACAAGAGCAAAAATCAGTACACAGTCAAGTAGAGTAAGAAGGAAAAAAGAAAAACAAATGAATAAAAAAGAAAGCTAAACTGCAAAAAAAGAAAAAAGATACAAGAAAAGCAGAAAAGGAAGAAAAAAGTGGTTTCCAATCTTTACAGCAGTTATAACTACAATTGTAGATCTACCTCTTTCTGTAAAGCTACATAGGGATTATTTTCTTTTCTTATTCTATTGTATTTAATCAAATCAAAACCACAAATCATGAATCTATTTTTTTCTATTTTACGAAAAAAGCCCATAAAGGGTTTCCATTCGGCAATAAACATAGAGATTGTCTTTTCTCTAATCAAACAGGTCAATTTAGCCATCTCAGCAAGTTCAGTAGTGGGTTTCACTTAACTTCGCTACCGGTTCGGAACTGTGAGCTCACGCGTGGCGCTTCTGCACATGCTCAGAACGTTCTGCGCATACACAGAGTGTCCATGATGATGTCCGGGTGGGTGGAGCTTCCCGCCGCCACCACTACCGATTTGCTCGAACCAGGGCAAACCAGTAGAAACCCACCACTGAGCAAGTTCTGTCATCTTCACCAATCCTTCCTTCTTCATAGGTGTTGCCAAAGCTTTCCTCTTTGGGCCTACAATAATTTTGCTGTAGTTATCATATATCAAAAATAGTTCCATGACTTTTCTTCCAACTGTTTATCAGTCTTGAGGAAAAGTTCTGATTTTAGTTGTATATTAATGTTTAAATTCCTCTGAAATAAAAGCATCACTCTAGGAAAAACATTCATTTTTATCATAGAAATTCTTCCCAACAATGGCCACTGTAATTACTCCCACCAAAGCATAGCTCTATACACTTCATTCCATGGTTGAATATAATTATTTAGTACCAAATTCTTTTAAATTTTCCCACTGATGTTTCTATTCTCTTTAAAGGATCCTGCAAAGCCAGTACCAGGACATCCACAAATGTCCTTAACTTCTTTTTCAATCTGTTCTTCACATAATTTTCTCATCTTGTTTTATATCTCTCTTCAATATTTAAAGAAGTAAAAGAAGAAGAGAGGAGACAATTCTTGTCTTGTTGCCTTTTTTATTTCATACCGTTTTGTTAGATCTCTGCTAAGAAGTACAGAAGTAATCCTCAATTTACAACAGTTCATTTAGTGACTGC